AGTTCATGTGCACATGAGCTAGATTGTGCTTTAGAAGCCTCTTTTGCCACATGATGCTACTCTTCAAGGTAATGGAAGAGTTGCTTGCCAACTACCTACAAAACGAACAAAGCCAACTGAGTTGTTGCACCCAATTATCTTGGTAGGTGCTCTCTTTATCACCGTGGTTAGCGATGCTGCAGCCTGCTGGATCTGTCTTTATTGGTCAGGCAACACTTTACTCCGGCAGCTGGCACAGAGCACTGGCAGCTGGCCCATCAGCGACTGTGTTTGAGCTACGTTTTCCATTAGTGATCTTACAAGGGGGTACTAAGATGTTTTGTTTGTCTCACTTTGAAAATGTCACACTTTCAAAGAATAATGATCGAATAGAACGAATACAAGCTGTTTACTCCGAGTAAATGCTGAAATGAGTCTTGGTTGTAACGACACTGCTCTTATCACAGTAATTATTTTATGTGCAATTCAACTTCAGTGTCATTCTGAAGATGCTGCATCTTTATTTAAATGGAGTTTTTAATGTGTTCTGTCATGATAATTATTCATTTCATTACGTTTTCATACTCTTCTGTCCCACTCTCCCGAAATGTAATAACCCAAATTTCCCATTGGGATCTGTTACGTGTAATATTCTCTAATTTAATGAAATGTGCTCTAATGACAGATGAAACTAGGGAGACAATAGACAGATAAATCCTGAAATCCCAGTTGGCAGGATATAGAGGAAGCTAATAGGGGAGAGGTGCTTCTCATTTCTGCTACCTTTAGCTCCGAGCAGTGTGTCCCTGATGAACTGCTCCAGGTCCTCGGCTCGTTTATGAATCCTGTCAGCATCATCCTCAACCTGCTCTCCATCAGCAGACACCTTAGTGGCCTGTACACAAAGACATATACGTTATAAAATAATGAACAACTGCTGAATAAGTGAATGTATCGACTTCTATGGAGCGGAAAAAAGAAGGATGAGATCTTCAACGTAAAGGGCGATGAAAGCAATACATAAGCACTATTGATAATACTGTGCAAACAAATATAAGGATAAATGAATTACTGACATGAAATGAAAGCAAAATATCAGACATTAACATGTTCACAAAGGACCAGGAGAACAAGAGACGGATGAATTTTTGACAGACATGAAAACAGTTCCATATACACTCAATGTACATGTACACGCACACACTGACAGAAAGAAAGTGTAGGTAATTACTGTTGTGATTTGACAAGACCATGCTATATCATTTTAGGTGGTTTGTGTGAGAGTATGTGTGTATGTGCGATGGGGTGTGGGGTGTGGGGGATAGTATTGCTGTCAACAAATGTCAAGGCCTCAGCCCCTAAAAGGCTGCAGCTTGACAGCACGAATGTGAGTGTTATTTTTCTCCATTTGGTATTTTTAGGTCCCCTCCACTCAAAAAGTGTTTTTTTCCTTCTGTGTTGGTAAACTACTTTTACAGACAACTTTGACTCTCAAAATGGTAAAAAATGAGCGCGTATTAGACAAAGAGTTTGTAGAATACTTCATTATTTATGTGGTATATAAAACTTTAGAGTGTTAACTTTTCATCTTAATTACTTTTATGCATGGACTGATTCTCAAACAGGTAGCGCAGCCCTGAACTTTTATTCTGTGGCATCACAGAATAATAGATGGAATAAACTAGACTCGATTTATATATCACTCTATGGGCTTTCACACACATTCAAAGAGCACTTTAATCTGTGCGCTTAAGACCTGTATCTACCCCGCATTCACACCAAGTTTAGAATCACCAATTAATCTATCTTTGGAAAGTGGGAGGAAGCTGGAGTACCTGAAGAAAACCTACGCAGGCTCAGGGAGAACATGAGTAGGTGTCAGGTGTCCTCCGTCCTGCAAAACCCTCAACTAAACCAAACTGTCTGAAACAGACTGTTTCCAGCTGTATATTCCATGTGAGATATGAAAACTTTGGAACTCTCTGGAGTTCATGTGTGACAACCACTTTATTTTATTAATATCCAACCACTTAGCTACTCATCTGCGCCCAGCTGAGCGATATAGCTGGCCAAAAGAAGCAACACAGAGCTCCAGAGGGTGGGAAAGCTATTCATGACATCAGGTTTGCTTTGAAAAACAAACCATCAAAGTGAAACTGCCATGATAAAGTCCTTAAAATGCCCTTTAAGACATTTTTGACCAACTGGTACAAGTTATTCTGCACTTCATCTTCATTATTTTTGCATAGTATGGGAAACACCACTAAAAAGAAACATGCATGTAAAAATATAGGATTTAAAAGTTGTGTAAAAATCTGCTTTAAAAATTAGTAAAATGCTCAAAATATGCTTCTCTGACCCTCAATAATACTGGTATATGTTAGCATTTAAAATCTAGATTATCTCGACAAAGAATGGAACAAAAGGCAATCGACATCCAAAGAAGAGCTTTGAATCTCATTCAAGAAGCCTGGACAACTATTTCTGAAAGAAAGTTCAAGAAAGCTTGCGTACAAAGAATTGTACAAACTTGATTTTTACCTTACATCCTTTATCTGTATTTATGATTGCATGTTTCAGTGGATAGCAGCACTTAATTCCCAGTGTCTCAGTACTATATATCTATATTTTGACATCCCAGACAGCAAAAACTGTTACACACAATGCGAAAGTTGTTCTTCCTGCACATCTGTTGCTTTAAACTATGATCTCAGTGCCTGTCACAATGTGTATTTGCTCTCCGGCTGCACACAAAGAAAGAGTGAAACAAGGATAAAGACAGGACGAAGGCAGACAACGATGGAGACAAAATTTGAGTCAAAAGAAAACTTCAAAGGTTTTTACCCTGCTGTGTAGCTGGTCCATCTCTGTAACCAGCGATCCCAGGTTGGAGTCAGCCAGTTGCAGTAATCTCTCTGGAGCTTTCTGAGGCGACAACATGTGCTGCCAGAGAGAAACAGAGAGATGAAGGAATTATGGAGAGAAATGTCTGACACATTTTGGCCCTGGGCTAGGCTTTTGAACTGTCTGGCTTTGTGCCGTAGAGCTAAAAAGAAAAGAATAAACAAGTGCGTGCAAAAGGCAAGGAAGACATAAATAATTCAATTGTAAACACATCTGATAAACATATTTAAATTGTCTCAAAGTGCAGTGTGTATTAGCAATATAAATGTGGCAACTTTATGGAATTGTAATTAAGCGCTTGAAAAAATTGGAAAAACTCACTAAGGAGTGTTAATGCAGGATAATCCTTTACCTACAGAACATCTTAAGTGAGCTAAAGTGAGTGTCTCAATGTACGACCATATATTTGATTACACAGCACTTAAAAATGCTTTCTACTTGGTTTATTTTTTACAATAAACCAAGTAGTAGTTATAGTACATATTTTCTTTTGTAAAACCTTTGAAGCACAAAACATTTCCATTCATTCATCTAGCCATCTTTGCATCCTTCTATACTGCTTGTCCAACTTAGTAGGCTATTTATGCCGCCTATTAGTTTAAAAAGTGTAAAAGAGTGGGGTACGCCCTGGACATGTCACCAGTCTATCACAGGGCTGAAACACAAAAGTACATATTTCCCTGTGGTGTGTGTAGGACTCACTGTGACTTGATAATTGTACCAGTGGTCTTTAGACCTCAGGGGGAAGTAATGAGCCCACTAGAGACTGACACATCATAGTGAGGCCAAAAAAAATGTTTCACTAGAAAAAGAAGGCAGCATTTGAATGGTTCACAAACAGAAGCAGTCGAAGTATCATAACATGTCATGCACATGTTAATCAGTAGATTCATTAGATAAGTTTACCATGTTGTAGTAGTGTTAGAATGCACAATGAGTATCAGTATGCCCTACATAGAGCATTCAAGTAACGCCTCATAAAAAGTAGTATGCAACCAATGGTCACAACCATTGGTGACATTAGATACCAGCATCTGCTGTTCTAATAAAAATTGTAAAAGAGTAAAAAGAGAAATGCATCATAACAAAAGGAATAACAGGCTAAGGAGGACAGCGAAGCAAAGTAAGTTACAATAATCAAGTCGGGCGGAATTTAAAGGGAGTATTAAAAGTCTCAAATTACTGGGTGTAAGACAAGGCACCGATTAAAATGTTCCTTAGATGAAAGAAACAAGATTTGGATCTTAGAGCCTCACAAAACAAAGCAAAACAAAACAAAAAACGATGCAAAGGTTCTCAGTAGAATATTTGATATTGTTGGCAGGGGGGCTGGTGTAATGACCGACCTCACTGGAGAAAATTCCATGTCCTAACACAAGAATCTCAGTTTTTCCAGAATTCAAATGGAGGAAATTTGAAGGCATCGAATTGAAGGACGCCACATATAGGTGGTCAAAGTAAGTCAAAGTAATGAAACCACTTGTAGTTATGACATGGGTTAAATAAAAGTAAATTCCAACTACTCTCACACATTTTTTTTCTTACCTTGAGCTCCTCTGTCATGTTCTCAAATCGGTACAACACCTTATAAGGTGGTGGAAGGGGTGTCGTCAAAGTGACCTCATTGATGATGCGTAACAGGCGGTCCATATCGCTGATCAACAAACCAGAGCACTCATCATCGCAGGCTGGAGAAACAAGTAAAGACACACAGTCAGATGTAAGGCAGTGAGTCATGAGGGCGGCTAAAACCACAAACAGTCATTATGGGTTTGTGTCTGTGTGTGAGCTGACATGTTAACTTTTCGAGAAAGTTTGAGTTTTGAGTGCATTTTTACAACTGAATGTGTGTTTATATGGGCGAGCTCAGAAACACATCAATAAGGGACTGTGGTGACTGCTTGTGTTTTTCTGTTTAAGTGGCTCTGGCATCAGAAAGACAGGGCTGGTGATGCATGAAATTCAGCGTGCAGGGGCAAAAGTGCCTACTACAAGTACACACTGCAGGCTAAAAACACACAAACAGACACCCACACACACACACAAATATGCACGGCGCACACCAGGGAATTCACTAAGACACACACACATTCTCCTATATCGCGTGTGTATGAATTTCTTTGGCTTCTGCAGCCTGAGGCTGATTTATTACACAAATTAAAATTTCTGACAAGGGAAATCAAAGAAAAATTAAATAAAATAAAAACAGCTTCTACTCTATCAATCTCTGACAAAACAGCAAAACACAAATAAATCCATGCGTTCATGCAGTTTAATGCATACACACAAACCCACACATATATGTGCACACAGTGTACTGTATGCAGACTACATTGTGTATGTGGGAGTAAATAGCTGCTTGTCAAATCAAAGCTATTCAAGAAGCTCACTGATGAAGGATTGCATTCACTAACTTCAGCACTGAGGGAAAACATTTTGTACTACAGAGATGGAGCTTGTAAGCAGTATGTTGAAGTCTACTGATAGTGGATTTTAATAATGACACACAATATTATCCTACATGTGTGAGTCACTATACAACGGCAGTTGTTTTATCACTGCAAACATTTCCAGTGTGCCATTGAAATGATATATATATTTACACCAAGCAAGTGTAATATTATTGTGTAAATGTTTTCTATTGAAGTGTGATAATAAAATAGGAAACTTCTATTGATATAGTAAATTATATGAGATTATAAGAGTTGTAAGGGTTACAAATGTAATGCAGTTTATGTAGTAGGTAGGTTTTGTAGGTTTCAAAACACCACTGAATTTAAAGGTGTGGCACTAAGCAAGTTCACAGGAACAACAGCGCAAATGTCCCCACCTGTGTCTTTAAAAAAACAAAAACTTTATATACACAGACAGAAGAAAAAAGATGGAGATTGAAGTTTGATTATAACATGAAAGTTATAAGTTATACTAATCACCAAATTTATGGCCAAAATAAGCAATTTTCTAATGACTTTACAGTCAAGTATTTTTAAGTTTGAAAAGTATTATTTCAGGGTGGGACTAAAACCAAAATGAATCTGTATATCCCTCAGTTTCCCTCATGTGATGTCTGGATCCATAAAAACAGGACAGTGATGGTCAAAATGTTCCGCCCACCAACGGTTTCCATCTTCTGAATACTCAGTGATCAATATATTGTGTTCCCAATTATTTTGCATCAGACTGATAAGTCCAAAGTCAGTTTGTCTAAATTAAAGTTACAACACTTAAAATATTTGTCAATTTTTGACAATGGGAAAATTAATTGAATTATTTAATTTAATAGGGAAGCCCATTGCAGTCACATTGTAATTCAGTTTAATCTAATTTAGAAATAAGCTATATCCTGACTTATTACATAGCTATAATGCTAGCCACCTGTTAAGATCAAGCACTAGCGATTCTGTTGGTCAGGCTTTGAATGTCATGTAGTGATATGGATCTTGGTTTTAAAGTTTATATAAAATGCCCAGCAAGTTTCTTTTCCATTATTAAGCAGATATAGTCTTTAGTTATAACTGTACACCATGCTACTGTATAGTTTATTCTCAATTTTCTTCCTGAATTTCTTCTTCTTTGGGTGCGTTTACTAATGTACCCATTACAAAATCTATTGACATTAAGGGGCAATTCTTAGCAAACAGCATTATACAACAAATTTAGGAGCTGCATGCATGTCACTACTTCTGACTCCAAAAGTGCTCAGTGGCATTGGACAGAATGGGAGAAAGGCCAGATAACAGAAGGAATGCAGAGTGCAATCACTCTTCAACAAGTGAACAGCAGTGTGATCACTCCATTCTCTGTAAACCATCAGGACTTGGGATTATAGCCTGGACGTAGAGTCGAGCGGTTTGGTGTCAGGAAGCATTGCGGCACACGCACTGCCAATTTATGAACACACGCTTTGTGTCTGAACACAAAGACCTGAGCAAGCAATTTCCTCACTGACCTGACAGCAGCAATTTCACATCAGCCTCTGTCTTACTACCCTCTCACTTGCACACATAGACTTCCTTCTAGACATGCTAATGGCACCAAATTGGCCCTGCCATTATGGTCATATTAAGTTTAAATTAGCTCCAAATGACATTGAAATTATTTTCTAAATGACTTGAATCTGACTTCTGCCACAATCTCCTGTCTCCCATGGCAACTGGAGAAAGGAGCTCTGACTGTTCATTTGCATTTCATTGCCAAAATAAAGTAAAAATCACAACATCAGGTGACAATGAAGGGCGGTGAGCCACCAGAGGGAAGTGAACAGAAGAACAGAGAAGAAAGAGACAGAGAGCATGTCTGTGGGGTTCATGAAGCATGACACCCCATGCTGCTACGCTGGGTTACTTCCACCACTGGTGGTAACTTTCACTGCAGATTAATCTTTATAATAAAATTCTCAACTTCAATTTAAAGGTAAGTGCATAAAAAATTTCAGCCACATTATTTCTTCATTTTTTCATGTTTTACACTAGACCACTCTGAAAAAAAAAACACAGTAAAAGATGAAGGGAAAAAAATGAAATGATGAAGAAAACAAAAGAATGAGTAACCAAAAGCTGTGCGTTAGTCTTACAGATGATCCCAGATGGTCCACACACATGCCTATCCATGCACTGGTCACACGTCATCCCAGATGCCCCAACCCTGCAACGGCATTGGCCCGTGACAGGGTCACATGGTCCGGGCAACGCACCCCACAAGGAACACTTACACTCCTCACAGTGGCCACCTGGTATCCTTGGATTACCATGGTAACCAGTGGCACACCTAAACAGGGGGGATCACATAGAGAGAGAGAGTATTCAAATCTAACCAAATTTTAACATATGTTCACCCCACACTGTAAAGAGATATCACAAATTATTTCACCAGCAAAATACTCACAGTGGGATCCCAAGGTCTGAGATGTTTTCATGTAAACCTCAAGTGCATGTCATTACAGCAGAATTTAGGCATAACACATACGAGGATATTCTAAATATTCAAATCAGTGCAAACAACTGGCAATGCATTTCCAGGTTTGGCTGGTATGAAGTTGAAGTTTGGCTCTTTGGGGATGGGCATGGGGCAACTGCCACTACCACTTCTTTTCACATAATGTCTCTCTTAAAACTATCACGGGTCGACTAAGACTTTTGGATTCCACTTTACATCAACTCGTATTCCCTGTATTGGTCTTTGCATTTAAATATCCATGCAGTCCACATTAAAAGCCGATGATTTCCAAACTTCTATGCTTGTTCATTTCTTTGTATGTGTCTGACCTCTCACAGTGTTTGCCCTCATATCCTTCAGGACAGGCGGTGCAGCGGTAGTCATCAAACCCCTCTGCTACACAGGTGGGACTGAAACTGGATATGAAAAGAGATTTTTCACAGACATTACAAAAGAAATGTTAAAACATTTGGAGCATACAGTCTATTTATATTACAGAGGAGAGAGGACAGAAAAGATAAAATGTGCATAAAATGACAGATTAATATTGTTTAAAGTTTGTAGTGATAGGTTGCAAGAAATTTTACTTATTCTGTGGGTTGGTAAGGGGGCAGGCGCAGGGTTTGCAGTCATCAGGAGAACCTCGGACCACGCCGTAGAATCCCGGTGCACAGCGTTCGCACCGATCACCCTCTGTGTTGTCTTGACAGTTCTACCAACACAAATGCGCACACATAAAAATAATGCTATGCATGTATGCGAAGGCACTCTATTTACCTTTAGTCATTCTCCAACTCCCCCACGACTCTAACCTACTCCAATATGTAGGTGCAAAAATATCCATCACCCACCACCCAGAAATTCCTGGTGTGTGCTGGGATGGGAAATAAATACAGAATGTCACACTGAGCATAATGAAGGCAACTTTAAGATGGTGACACACACACACACACACACACACACACACACACACACACACACACACACACACACACACACACACACACAAAGAAGAAAACTCATGTTGCCTCTCCAGAAAGCTTTTCATCTCTAAAATCAACAGATTTTCTAATTAAATTAACAAAAATTAACCTACACTCCCATTTGGACATTATTTTTGGAAATCACCCCTGGCACGATAAAAAGCAAGACACCAAATTTGCTTGAGCAAGATGATAAAACATTTTTTGGAATCACTTACAGGCATTTGTGGGCTAATGGGAATCTATTCAAGTGCATGTAGACTAAAAAAATCTACTGTGTTTCAGATGCTTTAATAAAGAAGAAATCTGTATATCTCTTAAGCTGTGTACAGTCTCCCATGTTTTTCAAGTTGACAATGAATAATTGAAAAGATGACAGACCGGGTCACCTGTCATTACCTCCTTCATTACTGACAAAACAACACTGAAGAGGCTTGTTTTTTGGTGAGTGAGATAATTATCCTGGCACCGCTGTTTGAGTTTCATCAATACCAGAGAAGTAGAAATAATAGTAGCATACCTCCCTGCTGTCACTTCAGTTTTTGGTGCTAACAACAGCCTTTTTGAACACTTTTGTGCTTAGCTTTGATGTGGACACTTTAGAGACTCTCAGTGAAATGTTTGACAACATGTTGACAGATGGGTCATTTCACTTTAAATCTCTTCAATGTCAAGAACCGGCCGTCTTTTTGATTTGCTTTTTTCTAGAGGGAAAGATGAACACAGTCCCTTTTATTTATCAGTAAATTATCCCAGCCTAAGGATAATTATCCTGGAGCTGGCTGGAGCCTATTCCAGCTATCTTAGGGCCCTAAAACAGCTGGGACATGCCCACCCCCCACCCGCAACCCTGAAAAGGGTAATTGGAAGAGAATGGATGGATGAATTAATTATTAATTGAGAAACTTACTATCTTAACATACGTATACACTCACCAGCCATTTTGTCAGGTACGGCTGTTCAACTGGGCATAAATGCTAAGATTTAATCACCCAATTACATAGCATCAAATCAATGCAACTAGGTATGTAGACATGGTCAAAATGACCTGGTAAGTCTAAACTGAGCTTTAGAATGGGGAAGAAAGACGAATTAAGTAACTTTGAAATTACGATGGTTGCTGGTTTTGATGCGCTTTGATGGTCCGAGTATTTTAGAAACTGCTGGGGCTTACACCTGTCTGAAAACAGAAAATATCCAGTGATCAGCAGTTCTCTGGGTGAAAATGCCTTGTTGCTGTCAGAGGACAGTGGCCAGGCTGCTTCAAGGTGATAGGATGCAACAAGAAGTCAAATCACCACTCTTTCAATCAAAGGTTTGCAGAAGAGCATCTCTGAAGGCACAACACATTGAGACTTAAAGTAAAAGGGTTAAGGAAATACAGAAACACATTGGGTGCCACACTAATCACCTAAGAACAGAAGACTGAAACTACAAGGATTGAAACATGTTGTCAGGTCTGATGAGTCTCAATTACTGATGTGACATTTAGACGTTAGGGTCAGAATTTGGCATAAACAACACGAAAGCATGGATCCCCCCTTCTTCATGTCAGCAGTTCTGACTGATGGATTTGGTCTGTTGGTCTGCTATGTTCTGATAACATGTCATGTCACAAATGAGGTCACTGTACTCACAAGACCTCCACAGTCACCATATCTCAGTCCAGTAGATTAAGATCTGGGATGGGGTGGAATGGGAGATTTGTATCATGGATGTGTAGCTGACAAATCTGCAGCAACTGCAAGGTGATGTTGCAGTAAGGATTAAAATCTCAGAAAAATACTGAATGTCTGAGTCAAAGAATTAAGAGCGTTCTGAAGGGAAAAGAGGTCTCGCCCGGTACTAGCAAGTTGTAACTAATAGAAGTATACAGTGAGTGTTGATTGCTCTGAATCTCTGTGGGAAATCATTACTCGCTTCTTTTTACCACCTACAGTTGCTGAGCCAGTACAAGCTTTTGCACTGGTGAACTTTTATCTAAGACAGACCATTTCTGAAAAGAAATATAGTTGGTCACACATATTAATGTGTGACCAACTATACTTTGGTCTCAGTCCCATTCCTGCATGATGAGGTGCTGTGAGACCAAGAGCAACCAGCTACAGTAGCTGTTAGCCGACAGGTGCGATCTTACACGTCAAAGACTTTAATAAGCTTCCTTCTTCAAGAGCATCTGAAATACTAATTTTCCTCGCAGGATTTCACTCTTGCTGTTGTTCAGATAGCCTCATGGGTACAACAACACACAGAGATCTAAATATATCTAAAATATTTTCATATCCACAGATGTTTCTGTTTATTTTGTAGTTTATTTTTAGCTATTCTTGTTATAAAAGTCTCATACACCCACACATGCACACACACGGACACAGTGTCTATTCCTTCGTGCATTCTGGTACATCTCATGGCAAAAATATGGCATGTTTTTTATATAGAGTAATTCTGTACAATATGTGCAGACTGTAGGCACTTAGGACACACAACAAAATACCCCCTATTCCACCTCCACCCTCAAACACTCACTGTGAGCTCAATCATTTTAACGCACACAATTTAAATGGCAATACATATTGTACACAAACACACACCTCTCTCTTTCATATCCCCAGGGTCCTGTCCTATGTCTTCGAATTGTTTGTTATAAATAGGAACTTCAATCAGTACAACAGGAAGTCGCCTCTTAACGAGGCAAGTCATTTCCATTAACTTCCTGTGTTCCTCGTTACCTCTAATTACCACAGAAACAAACTCGTTTAGCATTTTCAATTTAGCCCGCTCGGTTAGAAAATGCTAATGATGCTGCTGTTATGGAGAGCAAGATAGAAATGGGCAAGGAAAAAACGTCTGGAAGGCAGAGAGGAAGAGGGTGTGAAGTAGTAAAAAAAAGAAAGAGAGAGAAAAACAAATTGGTAAAACCAAGGAGGTGTTAAGGAGGATTGGGGAAAACGAAAAATGAGAAAACTAGAAACAAAAGACGGGCAAGAAGATGAAAGAAGACAACAGAGGAATAAATATATAACTAGGGAAAGGAGAACAGGAATTTAGGGGATGTGAATGAGGTGAAAAAAGATAAATTGGAGGAGTGGCAGAAGGAGGAACAACACAAAGAATGCAGAAGAAAGGCAGAGATGAAAGTCATGGAAATAATGGAGAAACTGACAAAAATTAGACAGTAAAAGAAACTGAAAGTGGCAAAAAAGTCAGTACATAACCACACACTTAGGGTTTAAAGTTGGAATATTAAGCTGAGTAAGGACAGAATTTGTATAATTACCATTATTATCCATGAATTTATGGTGAATGTTTAGGACTTGTGGTTTAAATCCATATTTGGAAGGGAATTATTGTTCCTTTAAGAATGAAAGCGGTACAATTTTCCTTTAAAATGACAGTGGGCAACAAATACATTGATGCATTGCAACATAAACAAATTGGAATGAAAACACTGTTTAGCTGACTCTTTCAGTTGTCCTGTTTGTATGTCCTTAAGCATGTCAAGCAAACTTTTCGGAACAAAAATGAGCTGCACTGGACACAAACCTGAGGCATAAACATGGTCTGGGATGACAGCCAGCTGCCACGAACAGCTGCAAGTAAGATGCAAAAGGGTATACAAGGCTCCATGAGAATTCAACCACCCCCATTTGTTTGGAAAGCTGTTGATATTACATTTAGCATTCTACCATTCAAGTACGATTCATTTTTACATTAACTTCATCGCTTTACTCAAACATACTTTTAGTAGTGATAAACGGAGAGTCAAGGTACTCGGTGTAGTGCACAATGTTTACAGTGTCACCCAGATTGCACTGAAATGTTTTAACTTAATGAGACTAATAGTTAGTAATAGTACATAAATCACTTTCACAGAAAAGTGGCCAAGGTGCTAATTCTGACATGATGCCAACACGTTGAGGTGCCATTAGATTAACAGAAATTGAGAACATGTAAGAAATTAAGTAAGAAGTTGTAACTTCAACAAACAAACAATTCTCTGAGTATAACCTGTCAAAGCAGGCGATTGGGAGAAGAGTATCAAAACACTAGCTGTTTAAGTCAAATGGTTTGTCTGTGTGCACACGTTTCTTGTCACCTCAGTGTGGTAGATAACTTACATTAAAATCTGAAAGTGAAAGAAAAGGTTTTGGATTTTTATGAGCAAATTTCCAGAAATTCTGGGAATTTCTGATTACATGATGAACAAAAATGTGTACTGTTATGTATCCGAGTAAAATAATACTGAAATTAACTAAACAAGGTTTAAAAAACTATTTGGTTTCACACTGAGGGCATGCATATGAGCGTGTGTATTTTCGCAGAATATGAGGACTCATTGGTCCAGCAACACACTATGCAGTTCCCTAATCTAACATATGTAAATACAACACAGTTTGAGGAACTAAACCCATTTCAATAAATATTGAACATCTATTTACAGCAAGCCATTGATAATGTGTTAACTAACATAAACCTATAATTTTATCAATACTGCCCAAGATGATGTTATAAATCTCCTTTGATGACTCATGCTAGATTAAAAATACAACAGCGACTTCCTTACGACTCACAAAAATCAGTGTCTGGTGATGGTACTGAATTTTTTCCCCACTGGAAACTGATTGCAAGTAGCTGTGGAGACCACTTTTGAATGCAAGGATTGCACAGGTCACTCGATGGTACCCAACCTGTCTCCAAATGATCACAGTTAATCAGAAACACATGCAATGCAATTCTTATATTCAATCACAAAGAGACAGGAGTCTGACTCTGTCTTATGCCCTTAGATTGCTAAAGTCAGTCTGATGGCAACTGACCACTTGTAGACCTGGTTTCTATCATTGAAGCAACCATTTCAAAGGCAACAAGATTGTATGTTTATTACACAAAGTTGCAATAACTTTGTCTCCAACCACTGTTTTCTGTCATACAGCCATAGCATTATATACAGTAACTACTTGTAACTAATAGCCCTTGCTTGAAAAAAAATATTCAGACATAACTTTGGGTGAGATCCAGAGAAGAGGAAATTACATAAAATATGAGAAAGCTGGAGGTCGTTAATTATTGCAGGGCTAATTACAGTACCAGACATCCTTTCCAACACACACCTACACACCTATATGGCACCCTCATCCACCTCTTTCCTCCAGAAACTGCTCAGCATATGGCTCTAGGATGGTCTCCAGCGGTAGAATGCCCACACACACACACACACACACACACACACACACACACACACACACACACTTACATAGAATAAGAAAGTCTCAGAGACTTATGTAGAAATGTGGCAACTGCACTGACACTGAACACAGCTGCCCATGCCT